GCAGCAAGGAGAGATCAGCTAAAAGACAGGCAGTGGTTTCATAGAGATCATTCTCTCATCATCTCCTTCATGACACACCTGATTTATAGTTCTTCATTTTACACTTTACCTTTTCTCCAGTCCTCAGTTCCATCCTTTCCAGGCAGAAAAATTTTAATTTATTTAACTGCTCATGCATGGAAATAAACTGAGTTGTTGATTTTTCCTATTTCTATACCTTTTAAGGATTCTTCTTATTACTTATTGTTTCATTTTATTAGTTTTTCAATTCAGAGGAATAGTATCCAAAGATGTAAGCCCAGTATGGACCTTTGCAACAGTAATCTTTTTTGTTTTTTATAGGACCATCTGTTTTACAGGACTGTCTCGTGTAACCATAAGGTTTTGTTTCTGAGCACTGCAGTTCTTAGCCTTGTGTTGAGGCTGCCTTTAAAGTGTTTGACATAACTGAGAGATCTTTCATAGAAAACCTCTCCAAACCCTTTTAACATGACTGCAAATTGGAAAGCTTGTTTTGCTATGGGCTCACCTTCTTTGAAGGGTCTTTTTCCTGCACAGCTTACTTTTTACTGCACAGGCTCTTGGGCAGACCTGTTACTATTGAGATGTTTTAAAACTGTTACTGTATTCTGCTTTTTATTTTTCAAGTTAATAAAATTACCCTTATTGACCTACCTTACTGTGTTTTTACATTAAATTTGATGCAATTTACAATCTTCTTTTGTTTTCCTCCTTTGACAAAACTTCTACTAAAGCTTTCTTTCACTGCTGTTTAGTTGTGCTGGGTTTTTCCTTCCCCTTTCTAAAATCTTCTTTGATGATTAGCATCAATTATGATGCTTTTAAATAGCCCTCATGCTGCTTTCAAGGATTTAGCTCATCTTGGAACCTTTTTAGTCCTTTTTGTGGTTTGTTTTGTTAAAGATGCTTTTAATCTTTTTATAGTTCACATTGTTGAAGTGAAACACAAACATTTGGCTCTTTATCACTCTTAAGAGGATTTTTGAGTACTTCTTTAATCAGGGTTACAGAGTAACTCTCAAGTAGTGTCACTTTGAAAGGGGTCTTGTGTTTTACTTCTGATAAAATCAAAAACTGTCTCCTCATGTGGTTTCCTTGGCTGCATGCTGGACGAAACAGTCATTAATAGTGTCTAAATATTTAATCTTGGCGTCCTGGCCCTGGCCTGACATTTAACCACTCTTCATAAGACTAATTAAAGTCTACATTATATGGTTGTTTCTGCCTTTGTAACCTTTTATCCCCTGCAGTGTCGCGGTCATTGCTGCCCTCATGATCAGGTTGTTACTCGTGTAGTCCTGACACTGTGCTTTTCTGTGCATTGCATTTAAATTCCTCAGGAATTCTGTTACTTGTTAAAGTCGCCTGTTAATCAGATTTGACCCTAGGCTGCTTCTAACAGATGGTGTTGCTTCACAAACAATACATCTTTTGTCCTCAGTATTTTGAGGTGGTAGTGACCCACAGGCGTTACAACAGGGTTTGTCAGAAGCTTGTTTGAACGTGTGTCTGTCAGTAATCCTTGTCTACAGCAAGGCATTCCCATTTTGACACCTTATTACACTTATTGCATTATTGCAGTAGTATGTAGATTTGTCTTTTAAAAGCAACTACAAAACCAAATGAAAGAAACTGGTTTGCTCATTCTTGTTAACATTTTATTAACTTCTATGTCACTCTTCATTTGAAAACAGTCTTCATGATTTTTACTTCTGCACTTTCATCTTTGTGGTCTTTTGCACCTATCACCTACTTAAAAGACTTATTAAAGACTTATCACTCTTTAATTTAAAAACATTTTCATACTCAAATTTCCCGCTGGTAAAGCCTGTGCTCCTCTGTTTTGATTTCTCAGCTTGTAATTTTCTCTTGGGTATGTACAGAAGTGAGAGTTTAGTTCTGCTCACAACAGCACTCTTGTGAATTCATGTCCTAAGCATCTTAACTAGTGCTTTTTCTTGATCAGAAACATTCTAGTTTTTGCAGGAATGCATCCTGTGTCAACATTGCTGTAACTTTCTTGCTTCATGTTGAAGTAAAAAATGTTTGTGTCATTTAACTAATGATAATTAAATTACTCTGATTTTAGTCAGCAGCTAAAACTGAGAACAGCCATGGTCAGGGGCTCCTTTTCTTTGATTGAATGTGTTGCAGGTTTTGTCTCAGTAATTGTCTTATGCTGGTGAATTAAAATCCAGTGCTTACTTTTTAGAATAGTCCAAATTCAGGTGAAAGAAGACCTAAAATAGCTTAACATGTGATTGAAAATTTTGTATGTTTGAAATGGCATTGCAAATGAAAAATAGCTAACATTCAGAGAAGAGTAAGGTCTGATGTCTAAGTAATTACTTTTAATATATTTCACAGTCATATAGGATATCCTAATTCATTGTACTGTATGAGCCCATTCTTTTATGTTCTTCTTTCATGTTCAGGTCAAACCGTTTCCTTACTGAGAAATAATGTTTTTTGTATTAAACACAAATTATTGGCTTTTTGCATGCTGCTTTCATATTAACTGTTATCTCACAATTTCAATGCTTCTACCTAAAAAAGCTACCAAGGAAAGTCTTATTGTTCTTAAGCTTTAGTATCTTACATGCTCAGCATTTGTGTGTGAAGAATTCTTTAACAAAACCAACCATTTTATTGGAAGAGTTGTACCCACTTTTTATTGCACTTGATATTTGAACAGAAACTGCAAAAAGAAAGAAAAAACCTAACAAGACCCAGTCGTAGTCTGATTAATAAGATTTTTAATTGCAGAAAATTCTTGTAGGTAAGGATTTGATGGTGATGAGGCAACAAAGTTTGTTTCAGCTCTGTGGAAGGAGATATGTGATTATTCATGTTCTGAACTTCATTACTGTGTATTTTAGGGATGCATAAGTATGTGTGCTATCAAATTTGTTATTCCAAAGGCCAGCAGATATCCAGTGAATTTTTATTTTTGTATTTAACTATGGAGTTCTAGTTCCTTTAACAGCTCTAGAACTTCAAAGGCATTTACAGAAGTTTTTAACTGTTGCCTACATTTCAAGGAGAGCAGAAAAGTTTTGGATACATTAGAATGATTTAGGGCATATAAATACGGATTTGTTTCCTTGTTCTGTGTTTCTTGTGAAAATAGGTATTAAAAATAAAACAATACCCAACCCTGATCCTTCATTTTATGCAAAATGAAAGTTTTAATTAGTTAAAATTAATTCTGGATTAAGTTTTGTCATAAAATAATTAAAAGTATATATGACAGTAATATATAACCTGATTGCCTTAAATACTGTTATTTTCAGTGATTTTTTTCTAGGATAAGTGCTTCTTTCTTCCCTCTTCTCTCTTCCACATTCCAACTTTAAAGCAGAACAGGACAGATACTGTTTTATTCTTTGTGAAGGAGTTTGGGAATCGGGGAATCTGCTTCCTACTTTCTATTTGTTTTTAGTAATCCATTTATTGAATTCTCTGCAGACATGACTAGTGTAAAGGAAAAAGAATACTAATTAAGAAATATACTGAGGTTTTGGGAAGAATTAAAAAAAATGGCTTCAATTATGTTATAGCTTCATTTTTCACATTTCCATTTAAGAAGAAAATTACTGGTGTTATTTATTTTAATGTATGTTTAGCATAGTTTATATGGTCAAACTGAAGATAATGAATTACCACAAAGCATGTTTAGTGAATGGAATGTTCCAAATTGGTTTTGGCTGAAATTCCTGATGTTTGTGTACCTGCATACTTGATTACTGTTTCTTTCTTTCTTTGCATACTTAATAGCTTCCTAATTAATTGCTCTGTTGATTTCCTACATAATTAATTATTCACTAATTAGCCATTGATTCCCTGCATAGTTAATTAACTTACTCCTTATTTGATTTTTACACTTAATTGACTATAATTCATTGCTTTATTGCTACACCACCTAATTAGCAACTGGTTAATCAATTATTGTTTGCTTATTCCATACTTGTTTAGTCTGGTGATCAGCACAGTTTATCCTCTGCTCTCTGACCTCCTTTTCCAGTCATTCTTGCTAAAATAATTTCTTTGCTCAGTTTGGTTTCCATCTCTCCTCTGAGCAAAGCACACACATCTTCTGTGTGATCTGCTCCCTGCACCTTCACTAACACACCATCCTCTGCCTCCTGTTCTCTTCTGGAGTTGGTCCAGCTTTGCTTCTGTTTGATGGTTTTGGTAATCAGATACTTTAAACAACCACGGAGACCCTTGGGGATTCTTCTTGCCCTTCTGCCCATCTCCCAGGTCCTCCCTGGGAGGAGTGAGAGATAAGGTGGTGTGCAAGTACCGATTACAGCTGCTGAAGGAGGAGCAGTGAGCCTGAGCTTCTAGGGAAAACAACCGGCAGGTCAGGAGGCAGAAACAAGTGACAAATAAAACCTCAAAACAGAAGTGGCAGCTAAATCATGGAATTTCAGTAATTTTCAGTCATTTCAGTTAAACCTTTAGGTAAATGCTCATAGGTTTTATTGTGGATCTTAAATGTGCATTTACATGTAAAGAAAACAGTTGTCATCCACTGTATCACAAACAAGCTTCATTCACTTAAAAAAAAGAAAAAAAAAGAATGATGCTAACTAGAGCAGAACTAGTTCAAAGGAACATTTCCATTAAAAACATGCTGCAATCAAAACTGAAATGTCTGTGTGCCCAGAGAGCAGAAAGGCTGAGAAGGAACCACACCGAGCTCCTAAGAACACTCCGAGTGTACTGGACATTTACATGGCTGCCTGTGTGTAACACAGGGTGTGTCAAACAGTGGGAGCAGCATTGGGGTTGTTTTTCAGAGGTGTTTTGAAAGAGAATGAAGGCATAGTCTGCCTTTGAGTTTTGAGGTATGCTTTTGGTATATTTCAAGTGCACGCAACTATATCTCAGAGATATATCTCAGAGGTATAGAGAAGATATCTCTGCTGTTCTTAAATTTCAGGACACTTTAAAGAAGGATTTTTCTTGAGTGGGGGGAACTGTATAATTAATGTGTCATGAGGGAATTGGAATAATGCTGTATAGGGTAGTGATCTTTGCTTAGGATTGTTTTGAAAATAGATCCCAAAATACAGCTCCCCTGTTCTCTTACCCCTGGATTCATCCCAAAGTTCACAAAATATCACTTTTATTTCTGTACTTATTCATCTGATCTGTGATTTGGTTTGTACCTCAAATAGTGTTGCTTGTTCCAGGTTGGTTTCAGTGGGTGTATGGCCCTAATTTTCTGTAGGGAGTGTAGGAATTGACACCAATCTTTGGGGCAGGACTTTATACATGTCCCAGGAGAACAAGCACGTTGTTAAAACTGGCTCCTCATTATTGTTAGGTTTCTTTGGAAACTGAAGAGAGCAGGGCAGGGACTGTTGAAAAATCAAACCATTAAACCAAATAACAGCAGTTTTAGAAAGAACAAAGTCCTCTTATTTTCTCTGCCAAACAATTTTGAGCTTTTTTTTAGCTGAGATTATATTAATCCTTCTTTATTGTTACTTGCATTCCTGAGGCTTTGCTTTCATATCACGCCTCAAGTACCTGTGAATTTAAAAAAAACCCAAAAAACCAAAGTTTTGCCTAAAAAGTTGTGTCAAATTTCTGTTTAAAGCATTGTCCAAGGAGAGTTTTAATGAAATTTGTTGTTTGCTGCTGCTTTGAAGGGTTTTAGTTTGTTGGTTTTTTTTTTCTTTTTGAATCAACAGGAACTTTTAATGGAATTTCTGTGTCGAAGTGTATGAAATACCCAGATGGTTTTGTTATTGTTGAACATTAACATTGCCTCTGAGGCTGATACTTTCTCCAATAAGAGCACAATTTTTGTCCCCTCTTAAATTTTCCTCCTATTCCTGCTCATTTTTCTTCATGTAGATGGGTCAAAATGAGGCCTGACACTTTTCAAGCATATTGAGATAGAAGCAGAAAAAAGTGGTGGTTGTACAATTCTGAAGTGAATGGCCTGGAGGAGGAAGGATGTGATGACATGGCTGTGACTGTCATATGATGAACCACTTTGTGGTTGGCAGCACTGCAGATGTTTTGACCTTCCTCTCCACTCTTTCATTATGGCAGAGCCACATCTAAGGAAAATGACCCCTGAAACCACAAACTTAACATTTGTAGCTCAAGATCTGTGCTCGTGGTAATGTTCTAGGGCAAAAATGACACAGCAAAGCACACTTTTTTAATAAAAATATAATTATTTTGTACTATAGTGAAGAAGTTTTATCTTTCATGGTATTTAATTTTACCTCCCTTCTTTTGTTTCCAGCACTTACACAAGTAATTAGAGAGTTAGACTTGCTTAGGCGTGAGGAAGTAGAAAAGTCAAGTATATAAAAAGTAACAGTGAGGTCCATGAACATAAATTAGGATTTGGAGCCAAACTGTATTTCAGATTTGCTTTATAGGACAAAATATTTTGCATTTATACTAATGTGATACACAACAAACCTGGACAAGGACTTTATGTCTTATATAATTTTACCATGTGTTTGAAAATATATAAAATTGTAATGTTGTCTGAGGCTGGAAGGGAGAAATAGGTCTTAATCTGTCCTATTTGCTTTTGGATCTTGTTAGAAAATTTCTAAGATTTAAACCAGAAGAAGTTTTTAGCCCTGTGACAATCTGGGTAGGAGTTTAATCATTTCTTAAATCAATTCATTCTGGAATGTATTATGAATGTGTTCATTTAATGGTATAGCATTCTTTGTTTCACCTTGTTACTGTCTGTTAGGTGTATTAAGTAATCAAAACCTCAATAACTACTGGTAACACAAATAATTTAAATTTGAAAATATTAATTACTTATTTTAAACTTGTTTTTTCAGGGATCAATTCCATCTTCATGTGTAAGCTTTGTAACTTATTTTCGCCAAATCAGTCTGAACTATTGTCTCATGTCTCCGAGAAGCACACAGAAGAAGGAACCAATGTGGATGACATCATTATTCCTCTCCAACCTCTAACAGTGCCCACAAACACAGGCAGAGATGGAGAAGGTACATTCATAAATTGAGAGGAATGTAATTTTCAGTCTTACTTGCTTTTGTAATAAAGCCTGTGGTGTGATGTTTCTGTGTTGTGTATAGAATGATTTACATAGTTTGATTTTATAATAATCACTCTACAATTGCCACCCTGAATTTCATTCAGCACAGAATAGATCGTATGACAGATGTGGATAAACTCAACATGTCAGAGGGGATGATGACATTGGTTCATTGTCAGTTTTAAATGTCAAGTACAGCAAAGTCTGCTTCCTACAGCTTTAATTTGAGCTGTGTAACAGCTTTAATTTGAGCTGTGTAACATCTTTAATTTGAGCTGTGTAACAGCTTTAGTTTGAGCTGTGTAACAGCTTTAATTTGAGCTGTGTAATAGCAGTGGGAAGATTGTGTAACACCGGTGGAAAGCAACCAGGGCACCATGGATGAGAGTGTGTCTTGAGGCTTAGGTGTGCTTCTTGAGTTGTCTGACTTGTTTGTTGTGATTCGGGTAATATTAATAGTTCTATTTCAACAAGGAAGTGGCACAATTAATAATTTATAACTGTGTTTTGATATTGACAGTGGTAAATACCTCTGGTAGTCAGGGTTGAATTACTTATACAGAACAATTTTACTCTGCAGTGTCAGAAGTTACATTTATTCCATTCCATTTTTAACTGATTATAATTGCCATCCTTTGGAATATTAGCAGTGGATTAAAAATAATTCAGACTTTATAATTATATCTTCTTTTATACCCTTACTGAGTAATGGATTTATATTGTAGGCAAACCTCTTATTTAACACAAGTACTAGGATTTTCTAGTCATGATTTCTGGATTTTAAAAGCTGTGTGCTTATGAGTCAAAAGCACTCTAATATCATACTTTAAAGAATTTTTTTAACATTAACATGTGCATGTGATTTTTCTTCACTTATTTACCAGCAGTAATTCAGTAATTATATTAATTTCATCAACGTAAGAAGATATTTCTAATAATGGCCATACAGTATTCCATTACATCTGCTATGTCCTCATATGGTTGGTGAGGAAGATTCACACCAGATTATTATTTCACACAATACCCAAAATTACCAACGCCTCAGGAGATGATGAATAAATTTCAAATCTGGTTTCAAAATGCAATTCTAATTTTATTTGAATTGCATAGAATGAGTTCCTCTAGCATGCAGAAGGCATCTTCCATTTTTACATCTTTGTTTCCTTTTATCCCTTCACTAAATAGTGTTTTTGAGCACAGTGAGACTGGTGGTGCTTTGTAACATATTCTTATTCCTTTTAGTAAAAAGACTCTCCTGTAAACTTCTCTTTGCATTTGTATCAGGACTATCTGACTTTCTGTATTGTATGTCTTCAGCATGCATTGGATATTTATGAGAATAGTTTGTAATTGCCATTATGATGTGAAGCAACAGAATTTAAACATATATAGGTTTTAAGAAAATAACTTTGCAAATCTAATTATGTAAAATATAACATTCATATGTTAAGTTACACATTCATAAGTTACCTTTCTGATTATTCTTGATGAATACTTCTGTTCATCTGATATACTCATATGGTGCCACCTTTTTCAGATTATGTAGCCCAACTCTTTTCCATCTGCTGTCAGTGAGGATGTCAAGGTAAATTACTTTCACGTAGATTTCAAATTGTATTCTAGGCATACTTCAGCACTTCTCCTTTCCCATCACACAGATTGATAGGAGAAGAGGGTTCTAAAGTCCCATTCAATTATTTTCTATGTTCCGTTTAAAAAAAATAGGGTTTTCTACAGTTGAATATAGGAATTGGGAAGAGTTCTTCTTTCAAGGCATTAATTTTTCCCTCCTGTTATGGAATCTGCAGCAGCTAAAAAGTTTGTAGTGTACAATTTTTTGTCAGTGAACCAGTCTCTGTAGTAATTCAGTATTGTCCCTGAAAGGAGAAATATTCGATGAATGACAGTCTTAGAAATTACAATTTCCTTTTAGTTCTTAGTGACTAATAGATGAACATCTTTTTGTCTTTCGAAAGCCCAGTGTCTCTTCCAAGTATTGGTAAATGCTGTAGCTATTCCACAGTTGGTATAGATGAGTGAATGCTGAGTTGCTGATGGAGCTCTTTGTTCTGCCCGAGTAATAAATTAATGATTTTATAAGTACTGTGGACAAGTAAAGTGCTAATCAAGTAATCTGTGTTTATTACTGTAATGTTATTTTATTGACAGTGCTCTCTGCCGAATTTTGTTTAGTCACACCACTTTCCCATTGTTAAGTCATGATCTGTTTAGAGTTGATTTGTGCTAAACATTTTGGTAGGACAGTGTTAGAATTTTGTTATTAAGTGGGACCAAGGGTACCAGCCAGATGCTGCTGTTACACAGCAGTGCATAGGTCACATTTTGTCCAGCGCTGGAGTGTGACATCTTTGCTTGGGAAATGACTGGGAACTGTAGTCACTCACACTCCAGTTTTTTGTAGGGGTTCCTTTCATAACTTTTCACGATGATCTCCATTTCCTTCAAAGTGCTTCTGAAAACTCTGCTCTTTTTTTGCTTTTAGTTAGTCAGATTGGCGAAGATTTGGGGGACAGCATCAATGACCCTGGCTTCATCTATTCATAATGTTCCATAATGATCTGTTCCCTGATGGATCACTGTTTGGTTTAGGCTATATCTGCATTATGGGATACATGCTCTGTCAGTTATGGAACCTTGAAGAAAGTTACCTTGAAGGAATTCTGCATATCATAATTTCCCCTGAGGAGTTTATCTGATTAAGGTCACTTAAAACCATGGCATGTGCATGAGCCTCATCCTTGCTTGAACACAGGACACACCCAGAGCAGACATTGACTCGAGGGATGAGGTGTTCTAGGTGCTGTGATACACAGACAGAACAGTAACAGGATAAGGCTGTGGATGAGATGTGTTTGTGCAGAAGATTCTGAATACAGCTGTGTACTGTTGTGATGAATGAAATATAAGCTTTTTACACTGACGTTTGAGGAAAGATTCATGGTGCATAATGCATTGACCTACTAAGATTTGCTCAGGATATTTAAGTGAACACCTGCACTTGTGACTTCTGACAAAGTTCTTGTATTAAATAGATTGATTTGGAGAAGCTTATGTGAATTATTCCTGTGAAGGAACAGTAAAAAATAGTCATATAGTTTATTTCATTATTTTCTTTTTGAAGTGCCTTTTTTATGTCTTTGAGTACATAATTATACAGCACAGCACAGAATGTCTTCCCTGAATATTGCCACTGCTCATCCAATACCAGTCAGCATAAAGTTTGGTGTCAGTGAGTCTGTAATGAGTGTAAAATCCCCAGAAACAACTAATTTGTTTTTGGGGGAACAGGATCTTACTTTAAAATCTTTTTAATGACCAATTTAAGACTTCTATTTCTGACTAAGTGTCCTTGAAATAAGCGTTAGGCTTTTTTTCATTATTTATTTAATACACTGCTTTATTTTTAACAGTTAAGCAGATTCTTTTTTCTAGCAAGTGATGTTTGATTAACTTGGTTATATGCTGGCAGATGAATGACAATGTGCTACTATTAAATTACTGTGTGTTGTTAATCTTAGGTGGTGCTTTGAGCAGTGTTAAGGACTCACTGGGGCCAAGCTGGATAGAGAGGAAGCTGGAATTTATGGTCATGTGCATCATTAAAAATTTAATTCTGGCTAGCTCAAAGTATCTTGCGATATATTTTGTCCTGGAAAGAGGAAACCAAGGAGCAGGGAAAAGAAAGGACTGTGATAAACCTCAGGAGTTCTGGTGATGTGTACCAGTGGCTCGTATGAGCCCTCCTGTTCCTGTGTTGCTGCCTTGCACTTGCCACCAAACCCACTTAAATGTTTGGAAACTGCTGTAAATTCTCCTACTGGTGGGCACATTTACAAACATTTGTAAAATTTGCACATTCTTTATATATTTGCCACACCATTAGTAGTCACAGTGATAAGAACTGCAATTTTTGTAAGCCATAGCAGAGGATCTACCACCAGCCCTCTAAAGTAGTACTTTTCACATTTCCACCTACATGCAAGATTTTGTTTCAATTTCTGCCTCAGTGTGAAAGTGCTGCTCCGTTTTTCATGAAGTTTACATTAAAACGGTCAGGAAGAACCATGTCTTTGACCCATTTTTTCTTCATTTATTTTGTTGGGTAATCTGATGATTGCATTGTAAAAGAATGAAAGTAATATCATACATAGAATATACTGGTTGCATTATCCATGTCTGTATTCCTCATGTTGATACATTAGCAAAGTGTGACCTTTTGCCATGTTGACGTGAAGATATTTATTGTTTGTTGGCTTGTTTTAATTTTATGTTAATTTCTTCAACTCCAGGCACCAAATACTGATTGCTGTGATCAATGGATATCAAAATAACATGAATGGTAGCAAAGAGAAGTTTTGAGAGCACTGAAATCACCCCTTTCTTTTTGACTGATAGTTGACAAACTACTTTGCTGGAGTAGCACAAAAGTTCAGGGCACTGATGGAGAGTTGCAAAAACTTATGAGGAAAGAGTTGCTTTTTTTTCTATTCATAATGAGATTTTTGATGTTTTTATTACGTTTGTTTAAGCAGACAGGTACTCAATCATTACTGTAAGAAGACAGAATGCTTTCTTTTTCATTTGATAGTAATTACATGATTAACTCAAAGCTGTGGTCTCTAAATGTGGGGTTTTGTTATCCTGGTATACTTAGGGAAATGCTGGAGAGATTATGAATAAGATGCTGCCCCCACCTCCTGTTCTCCTACGTCATCCTCCCTTAAGGTGCCTTGAGGTCGTTTATTTTTCCATATACTCTAAATCAGCCAATTCAATAAGGTCTTTTGGCACCTGGAGTTGAAAATTATTTGTGGTTTATTTTGGGGTTTTTTTTTAATATTCTGTCTTTTTCTGATTTTTCAGACTTTTACACTGCCAGTCTCAATTTGTCAGAATCTGTGATTCTACAGCAGTGATAAGAGAAATGTTAAGCAGGAAATACAGTTTATATTGTTAGGCATTTCTGTGCACTACATCTCATTGATTTAATCAATATTTCGTCTACAGAAATATGGAAATGTAAAATTATATTAGAAGTTGTGGATTACTTCTGATTTTAATTAAGGAAACATTTTTTGCATGACCTCTGGAATTTATTTGTGACCAACAATTTTTTTTGCCAGCTTTTGGGTAGAAAATTCTAACAATAAAGAACCACAGGAAATATTAGGGAGTAATTGTTCAATATATTAAATGGACAATAAGCTTTTGCTTTTACAATATGAATTGTTTTTCTCTGATTACATCTCAAGACAAATAATTTCTGATTTAAATTAACAGGCTTTTCGTAAAGTGTCAGAACACAGTAAAACAACTTTGTAGAATACATGTGCTGCTACAGTTACACAACAGTCTAGAAGAGCTCTTACAGTGTAATTTATGTAAAACTGTGGCACTTTGACATCTGCTGATCTCAATAGCACAAACATTATTGCTTTGCAGCCACCAGAAATGCCAACAAGTACCACTGCTTGAAATAAATTTGTGTGAACCTAACCTTTTCTTAAGCTTTTGGGATAGAGTCTCTCAAACTTCATTCCATGTACCTGTTTTTCAAAAATCAGAGGATATTAGCTAATTAGCTGTAGCATTTAATTATAGCTTCCTTTAAACTTTAACTTTCCTCTCTAGAGCTTCTTGTAGCGAAGAGGAAAAGGGGCAGACCTAAAGGGTCTACTAAGAAGTTTTGTGTGGATGAAGATGTGGCAGAAAACAACCCTGTTCCAAATGAAGAAACTCCCCCTGGAACAGAAGAGGGCCCAGAAGTGTCTGAAGTGTCACCAGGCAGCTTGGAATGTAGGAAATGCAATCGGAAATTCTCCAACACACGTCAGCTGACTAAACATATCTGCATTATTGTCTTAAATGAAGGAGAGGAAGAAGGAGATGGAGGTAAGAAAATGGTGAACAAAAATATCTGAAGCGTTTGTGGAACAGTGTGTTCCCACTGTGAGACCTGACCTGTAATCCCCAGTGTTGGGTTTTAAATGGAATGGAGTTGTCTGTTTCTTGTTACACAAAAAGCATGTTAAAGCAAAACTGAGCATAGAGTCAGACAGAGTATTCAGGGTTTTTTTTCAAAATAGTTAAAATGTTTATTGCACTTACGATGGTCTTAAAACTCCCTAAAATGCTTGTTTTGCATTAGCAACTGTTCTGTTTCTCACAAAGAGGGTTGCAGTCTTTCATTGAGAAAGGCCACACAGGTAAGTATCACATAGATGAGGAAGGATGATCCCGTACAGGTGTTTCTGTCCTGTGACTTGGGAAACCTCAATTCTGTTCTGTTCTTTTGACACTTTTAGAGTCTGCTTTTCTGGATGGCTTGTTTTGCTGTATAAAAAATAATGCCAAACTCGCCTTTTTTACAAAACTTTATGTAAGTAACTGTCCTTGGCATATAAGAGTTCATTGTTTAAATTTAGCTTTAAGATTGAGTTGAATATATCCAACCTCTCAAAGTTTTAGAGTAGAACAGAGCACAGTAGAGTATTTTCAGTTGGGAAGAACCTACAATGACCATGTAGTCCAACTGCCTGACTAGTTCAGGGCTGATTAACAGTTAAAACATATTGTTAAGGGCATTGCTAAATATTTCTTAAAGATTGACAGGCTTGGGGTATCAACCACCAATCTAAATAGCCTGTTGAAAAAGACAACAGTGAATATTCATTTAGAATAGAATAGTTGGAAGGGACTATTGATCATCTAGTCCAGCTGCCTATTTAACTTGGCTAGGAGGTGAATGTCACATTCATACAAAGCAATGACCATGTCCAAATTGTCTATGTAAGTTTTGTGTTTCTGTTTTGTGTTTCTTTTTGCCTTAGCCACAGTTGCTCAGTATGATATCCTGTTGATTCTATTTGCAAACAAAATTTGCCATTGATTTTTTTTTCCAACTTTCTTAGACCCTTTTGTGTCCAGTCTTCCATTATGATACTCAACTACTATGACTATTTTACTTTCAGTGATATGGAGAGTTTAACTTTTGTGGCAAAGCCTAATTAAAATAAGTTTAGAATATGTTGACAGGGCAGAGAAACTCTTACTTTGATAAAGGACCTGGTTATATTTTACTGTCAGCAGTGGTAGGATTTTTCAGCTGTCCATAGTGACCATTACTTCAGCTGTCTCACCTCTGACATCCCAAATGTCCATGCCCTTTACTGTTTGTATGTGCTAGGTCCAATGTTCACATTTGCATTATTTTGGCAATGTTGCCTTTTCTAATGTCCTTTTAAAAGTACTAACTCAAATTAACCGTTCTCGACCTGTTAGCTCATTAGAGTTCCCAAGTCTTATCTTCACTTGTTTCGCTACACACTGCCTGATTTTTCGAACTAAATTGCTCATCCTTTTCCTTCTTTGTAAAGAAAATAGCCTCAGTTTTGGGCAGATGAAACATCTTTTGTTTATTCTCTGGTAAAAGCAAACCAATCATGCAATTAAGTTGTTCATGAGCAGCGAAGGGGTTCCAGTTGTTGGTGAGTTAGGTCTCCAGCCCAAAGCTTCCTATCAACACTCCCCCCCAACTTAGTGTCATCTACCAATTTGCTAATGATAGACTCAATCCCCTCATCCAGATTGTCCGTAAAGATATTAAACAGGACTGGGCCCAACACTGATCCCTGGGGGACACCACTAGTGACCGGCCGCCAAGTGGATGCAGCCCTGTTCACCACCAGTCTCTGGGCCTGGAGTTAGGAACTCCAGCCAGTTCCTAACCCAGCACAGAGTGCCTCTGTCCAAGCCATGGGCTGCCAGCTTTTTCAGGAGAATGTTGTGGGTTACAGTGTCAAAGGCTTTGCTGAAGTCCAGGTAGACACATCCACAACCTTCCCCTCATCCACCAGGTGCATCACCTGCTCATAAAAGCAGATCAGGTTGTTCAGGTAACCTGCCTTTCCTAAACCCATGCTGGCTGGGCACGTTCCCCTGTCCATCCTGTAGGTGCTGTGTGATGGTACTTGGGATGATCTGCTCCATGACCTTGCCAGGTGCCAAGGTCAGACTGACGGACCTGTAGTTTCCCATATCCTCCCTCCCTTCTTATGCATGTGCGTCACATTGGCCAACTTCCAGTCATCTGGGACCTCCCTAGTTAGCCAGGAGGGATGGTAAATGGAGAGCAGCTTGGCAAACTCTTCCTCCAGCTCCCTCAGAACTGAGCACAGAGTCAAGGTGCACCCACCCAGTGCCAAGTAAGGGGGATGGTCACTGCCTTGGTCCTTCTGGCCACACTATTGCTGATACACCCCAGGTGCCATTGGCCTTCTTGCCCACCTGGGCACAAACTGGCTCGTGTTCAGCTGCTGTCAACCAGCACCCCCAGGTCCTTTTCCGATGGGCAGTTTTCCAGCTACTCTTCCCCAGCCTGTAGCACTACCTGAGGTGGTTGTGACCCATGGGCAGGGCTTGGCACTTTGCCTAATTGAACCTCATACAGTTGGCCTTGGCCCATCGAGCCAGCCTGTCCAGATCCCTCTGCAGAACCTCCTGGTTCATACCATGGCATGAATTTATTTTTTTTTCTGTTCTGTTTTTCCTGTTCTTAATGATTCCTCAGATTAGATTGAGTTTCCTGACTACTGCTTACTACTGAATTTATGTTTTCAGGAAAGTATTTGGAAAGACAAATCTTTCCTGTGTTGTAAAAGTCAATTTAGAGCCCATTATTCTATCAGTAAAGCTGTTTTCTTTATGTGCCTTTCTTAGCATTTATTGTCACTGCAGATGGGAGTCTTTTCCAAATTAGCACTGCTCTGCACATATATGTGTTTATGCAATGGGTTTTCTAAGCCTTAGTGATAGCTAGCAAAGATCAAGTAAAGAGTTTTGGAAAGCTTGTCCCAGCTCTGGGTCCCCCAGCACTGGAAGGACACAAGCCTGCCCAGAGGAGGCCACCAAGCTGATTAGAGGGATGGAGAATTGGAATTGTTCAGCCTGGAAAAGAGGAGGCTTCAGGATGACCTCATTACAGGCTTCCAGTACCTGAAGGGACCCTACAAGAAAGATGGAGAAGGACTTATTACAAGAACATGTAGTGACAGGACAAGGGGGAATGGCTTTAAACTGAAAGAGAGTAGATTTAGATTACATATTAGGAGGAAATTATTGTGAAGTGGTGAGGCACTGGAACAGATTGCTCAGGGAAGTTGTGGCTGCCCCATCCTGGAAGTGTTCAAGAACAGGTAGGATGGGGCTTGGAGCAACCTGGTCTAGTGAAAGGTGTCCCTGCCAGCGGGGTTGGAATGAGATGATCTTTAAGGTTCCTTCCAACCCAAACTTTTCCATGATTCTGTGATACACAGATGATGGTGTTGCTGTCTCAGTACACAGTGCTGCAAGTTTTACACCAGTTATTTATTTTATGTGTGTGTTTTTGTCTCTGTATAATGTTCAGTGAATATTTTGGTTGCTTGGTTGCTTGAGCAGATGTGATTGATACCGACGTTTTCAAGAGTAAAGTATCCCTGACATAAAAACTTTTTGAAATCACGCTTATTTTGCTGTACATAAAAAAAAAAGACCGAAACTTCTAATTTGGTGAGATTCCACTGTTGCTGAAGTTCTTAGAGCTGGATGGAGAGTTTTACTGAAGGCCTGTGAATCTTCCAGGGTTGCAGTACCTGCTCTCACATTTCAGACACTGTAGTTCAGAGCAGATGGCTAAAAATCACAAGGAATTTGGGCCATAGGTTCTTCTTTAGTCTTTGACATGTTACGTAATACATTCAGGTTGGTTTTTATTTCCCCTTTTATCCGTGTCTTTCCAACTTGAAGTTAATTTTCAAATCCTTCTGGAATTTTTCTATAGTTCGTTTTTTTTTACTACTTTCTCATATTTTTCATTTCTTACAAAGCTTAGCACTATATGGACATTTGATTGATAATCAGTATGTTTTCATTTTCACTGTGTCTGGCTGCAATGGAGTTAATTTCCTTTTGTAGCAGCTCGTATGATGCAGTGTTTTATATTTGTGACCAAAATATGTTTTAGCTATTGATAAAATATGCTAACATACAAATATTGAAAAGATATATATTGCAATTCTATGTGATATTCTTTATTGAGAGAAACATAATATGCATTTTGAGCTGAAGCTCAAATATTCATAAAGGTTTCCAAGTAATAAAATGTTTTGCTATCTTTTATAGGTCTTCAAGGAAAGTGTTGAAATCCATAACATAATGGACATTTGTAATTAAAATGAATAAATTGATATAAAATTCTATTGAAACTGAAGTGCGTATTGGTCAGAGGAATATTTAAAAGACACAACAGGTCTCTGATGTTCTTTGCTTCTGTGATTAGTGATCCACATTGATCTCTCAAGAGATCAGTAGGTGATAGTTCTCCTACTCTTTCAGGAGTCACCAGGCCTTACTGGTTGCTGACATCCTCCGTGCATCTAATTTGATCCTTTGATGCTGATGATTGCCTTCACTTTGTGGGCTCAGTCATTAAAACAGAAAAAAAAAAAAAAAGAAAAAAAAAGTGACTTAATTTTTTGCAAATGTGGTGTGTTGACCCTGGTTGGACTCCAGGTGCCCAGGTGCCCAATGAAGCCACTCTGTCTCTCCTCTCCTTCAGCTGGACTGGGGAGAGATCACTCACCAGTTACCATCACAGGCCAAACAGACACAATCAGGGGAAATCAGTTTATTACCACTTGAATCAGAGCAGGATAATGAGTAATGAAACCAAATCTTAAAGCACCTTTGGCCTATCCCTCCCTTCTTCCTGAGCTCAATTTCACTCTTCCCCCTCAGCAATGCAGGAGGATGGGGAATGGGGGCTGTGGTCAGTTCATCACATGTTGTCTCTGCTCCTGCTTCCTCTGGAGGGGAAGGACTCCTCAGACTCTCCTCCAACGTGGGGTCCCTCC